TGGGAAATAAACAATTCGGTTTTAGAGAAAGATTGGGCACAAAGGAAGCTTTGTTTTTAATGCTAACACTAGGTACTTCAACAATCATGGAACGTACAGAAACCAATTTACGTCTGTTTTATAGATTTTGAGAAGGCGTTTGATAGGGTTCAACATGGTAGGCTGTTTGAATATCCATAAATGATTGGAATAGATGATAAAGATCTGAGACTTTTACAACATCTATATTGGAATCAACAAGCTTCTATTCTGGTAGACGGCAAAGAAACAGACAAAATTTGTATTCAAAGAGGTGTTAGACAGGGTTGTGTGTTGTCCCCAACTTTGTTTAACGTTTACTCAGAAATAATTTTTAACGAAGCCTTGGAAGGGCAATGTGGAGTTCGAATCGGGGGAGAAACTGTTAACAATATCAGATATGCAAATGACACCGCGATCGTGGCTGAAAGTATCGAAGATCTTCAATTCCTTATAGATCGAGTTACTAGAGAATGCTGTAATAACGGACTAAGCATAAATACAACAAAGACAAAGTTACTTGTGGTTAGTAAACAAGACCTCGGCGCTATACAACTAATTGTCAATAATGAACCGATAACAAAAGTACACCATTTTAAATATTTAGGATGTTGAATAAACGAGACACTAAATCCGGATGAAGAAATAAAAACTCGTATAGAAATTGCAAGAGGAGCATTTATGAAACTTAGATCTATTCTGAGCAATTCTCAGCTGAACTTACAGCTGAGAATTAAGTTCCTAAAATGATATGTGTATCCTGTATTACTGTATGGATGTGAAACCTGGATTATGAGGGTTAACATGATGAACAAATTAGAAGCCTTCGAGATGTGGTTATATCATAGAATGCTCAGAATATCAAAAAGAGAAGTCTTGAACAGAGTAGGTCAAGGTGAAAGTGACTAAATACAGATGATAAAAAAGAGAAAACTCGAATATCTGGGGCATATAATGAGAGGAAGCAGATACAATATAATGCAGTTAATACTCAACGGAAAGATCGACGGAAAAAGAGAAATTGGTAGGAAGAAATACTCATGGCCCCGAAACCTTCATCAATGGACTGGCTTATCAGCAGATGAATTATTACATGCCGCGTAAGATCGAGAACGATATCGGCAAATCGTCATGGAAACTACCCACGCCTAAAACTTGGGCATGGTACTCAAAGAAGAACAAGGAAGTAGTAGAAGAGGAAGACCAAATGAGACATGAAGAGAAGCTTAGACAGAACAGGTCGGTAAAGCGGATGGATATTGGTTTAACTAAAGATATAAACTTATGAAGAAATCTAATGAAGCAGCCGATCCCGCATAGAGATAAAGGTAAAGAAAATGATAATTATATACCAAAACACACAAACAAGTGATCAAAGCAACAAAAGATAAAACAAAACAACTAAAATAAAGATGGCTAACAGAGAAATGCAAAGATATACACGATTATTTAAATATATATACAAAGTTGCATACAAAACGTCATAGGGTGGTGACGCAGCACATACAATTCAATACAATACAATACAATACATACAATAAGCCAATTAACTGCGGTATTACCGTTGTACTACCATACCCAAAAAGTGAAGTTGTAAATGCAATTAAAAAAAAAACTCCGGAACCAGACGAAATCTTCCCAAAAATATTTGAAAATTACATCGATTTGTTTGTTGCTGTCTTTAATCAAAAATTCAGGAAAATTAATATGTTTAACGGATGAATGGAAAAAACCATTATCATAACCATACTCAAACAATCACACGGAAGAGAATATGAGAACTGCAGATATATCAACTTGATTCTAAGATGGCATGGGAATAAACAACTTCTTGTAAGCATTCAGGTGTTATTCCAAAAATGCTATAAAATACATTTTTCTATTTCTTTAATTTCGATTTCAGAAAAGTCAAACACTCAAAGTTGTTGGAATCCTTAGATTGAAGAAACTCTGGTTGGAATCCTAATGTGATGTAGACAGTGGCTAATCTAGAAATTTCGCTTTCGTGGGGAACTTATAACTTGAGGGGGGGGGGGACTTCCAATGAAACACCAACGAAAAGACATAAAAAAGATAAACTCAAACTATACAAAAGACATAAATAATATATTTTCTTAATTTTTCGGGGGTTCGCCCCTAGATGTAGGTGCAAATGGGAAATATGTCCAAATCTTATACGACAAAAAAGGACGAAAATCAAAATTGGTGGATCGTATTATTTATACCCAGCCGTGGTATAAACCATCTTCCTAACGGAAATGAACCGTTGACTTAGAAAATAACAACTTTAAAGAGGCTGGAAGTATTTGACCGGTGGATATATAGAAGAATTATAAGTATTTTCTAAAAGTAAATGTAACAAATAACGAAGTATTGCAACGAATGAATACAGGAACGGAATCACATCGTACTTGGGTTTATTTAGTAGAATAATATCAGGAACCTTAATAGGAGATAGGACTGAAGAATTTGCTAGGACGCGGTAAATTGGTTGAAGCGTGTATATTCTAAGAGATTTTTTTTCAAACTATTTAAACAAATTACATTATTAAATAATTTGTAATATAGTCGATGAACAAAAACATCAGAATGCCATTAACAAGTTTCAAAAATATGCGTTCAAATCACGAAATAATATATTAAACTACTACAGTCCATAATGATATAATTTATTGACAAAATGTTTTTTATTAAATATAACAATAACATCGCAGAATAAAAAAAGGTTTTTTTTAATTGTTTAAAGCAATTACATAGATTATTTATTATTAATTTTAGAAAAAAATCGCATCTTTATAATTTACTCCATGAGTACATACAAATTAAAAAAGAATAATCAAAATTCATTAACAAGTTCCGGATATATTAAAAGCAGCATGTGTTTGAAGAACCAATTTCAGTTTTTGAGGGTACGGATTTTATAAATTTCCCATCCCCCGGCCCCCAGCCGATTTCACTAGGACATAAGCTTCATAAACATTTTAAAGCTTACTGACCGCTCTGTTAAGTTCAAAGCTTAGTCAAACTTTTATACATAAACTATAAACCTTGAGCATCAAAATAGCGCTAGTTAGGTTCCTTAATTGGTATAAACAAAGTAGCTGTGAATTAAATAAAAAAAAAGTGGCTAACTTTGGCACTAATTGATTTATAGGCGTTTTTTTTAATTCCTGTAAAAATACCAACTTTTGATAGTAATAGTAAAAATGATTTTTATTAACTTTTTTAAATATTGAAAATATAAATCTTCTTTTTCAGGTGGTACTCGCAGAATCGCTTTATCATTGTTATTTTCCGAGCAATATATTGCAAAAAAATAGTTCTGTGGGACAAACAAATTGAATAAAAATTAAAACTAATTAAGGATTCATCTTCAAATTTTTTGTGCATTATGAGAACTATTTTACTCAACATGGCGTGCAATATCAAAATCTTATGTTCATTTTTGCAAAAGGTATAGCAAATTTTTGATTTTCGAAATTTTAAATTAATTTTGCAATTCTCAAAGCAACAAATGATCGGAAAAAAATTTAAAAGCTGCTATTTTAAACCTTTGCCCTTCTACTAAAAGATAAAAACTCTAAATCATATATTAAATTACCATCTTCTATCTGTAGCGATTTAAACGAAAAAACTGCCACTTTTGGCCCTTTTGACTATTTGTTAATAACTAATTATATGTCTCCGTACTGTGATGGGCATTTTTGAATTTATAATGAATTAGGTATATAGTACCCATTTAAACTCTATTTGCAACCTGGCTGGGTCAGTGTTTGGAACATGGTATTTTTGCCTTAAAGATATTTCCCCGGTGTATCTGTACATTCGCCGTAAGGTTGCCTCATAAACGCTTATACAAATAAATTAAAATTTCTCCAATTTATTAAGTATCTTGTGAGAATAAATATAGTCAACAAAGTTATTGAAGCAAGAGTATTTCTGGAGATTAGAATAGTTTTGATGATATACGAGGATACCTATACACATATAGTTTTGTATTGTAAAGAAAATGTGTAACTTTTCGTAAAAGATTTTAAAAAAGCGGTAAGCTGTAACTGTAATTTTTGATATAATTCCACTTTATAAAGTAGATTAACATCATTATTAAATTACAATAATCCGTCAGTATTCTTTGTTTGATTCAAAATCAATTTAACACTATAAATACGTAAAAGAGGATTTTACCGATTAATTATGTAATTTTAAATTAAATTAACTGAACAACTTACCTGATCATGTAAAGAGATGTCCTCAAATTTTCACAAACTAGGTATAGTTTCGATACAAACAATCATAATAGGGTTTCACAGATAACACAAAATAAAACAAAAATATCTTAGTTATTCATGCAATAGTCACCTTCATTAATTAATCAATTAAAGTTATATTTCTTGTAAAAGATAAATTTGCAAACATAATCGTTTAGATCATTCGAATTTGAATGAACACGACAGACTAGAATCACAACAAAATAAAAACTTGTGTATGCGCTTTTCACTATTTATGTTCAACTGTTTTCAATATAAGGGGTTCTTTTTAGTAGGCCAGACTTATAGAAATGATGTAACAAGGAATATAAACACTCTATTGAATAATCCCAAATTTTATTGTTGTATAAGGGCACCCCTTTTTAAATATAAAGAGGAATATTCATAATACAACGTTTTGGTAAACTAACTAGACAATAAATTTAGGCCACCAATCATACAGATACCAGTAAATAATATTGCCGAACTAGTTGGAACACTAATTTACAATTCTACAAATATATTATTGTCATCTAAAATAAACTTTTTTATGAAGTTACAATACTAAAAATTATAAAATTAATTTTAAGTCTATAAAAAGGCAATTTAAAGGCAAATTCTGAAAATATTATTACATTTACAATTAAATGAGAAGCAATAATTCAATAATTGACCGGAAATTGAGAAACATGTCAACACTGACAGTGCCAGCTGTCAAAACGAACTTCCTTTCTTAGTCTTTCACAATGCAGGCACAACCGCAGAAGGTATAATTTTTTAAAAATACTATATAATAATGCATTTTTCGTTAGGATTTCTTGGATATTAATTAATTTTACCCTTTATTTGTTGCAGCCAAAAAGAGATCCAATCCACTCTGTCCAAGTTTTTGGCAGAAAGGTATGTACGCTCGTTTAACCTATATCACGGATGTGTAACACGTGTGTTTTCTAGTTTTTATTGTATACACAGTAATTCATAGAATAACTATGATTCTGTTAATTGTGTTTTACAGTTCTTGACTTCATATGATAATTTTTATTTTAGAAATCGGCAACAGCCGTAGCTTATTGCAAAAGGGGTAGAGGAGTCTTAAGGGTAAATGGCAGACCTCTTAGCCAAGTTGAGCCCAAAATGCTCCAAGATAAACTTCAAGAACCCATTCTTCTTCTTGGAAAGGTAATGTAACCCACTCATATTTATTTTTAATTTAAATTTTCAAGTTAAACTCATACACCTAATTATATGATGATACTTTTATCCCGAATATGAGCAGGATGAAATAAAACATGAACTGATTCATTCAATGTTAACATTTTTAAAATAAAATAAGTAAATTTGAATTGCATTAACAGTTTTTTTCTTTTTTAGGACAAATTCTCTGCTGTTGACATCAGAGTTAGAGTAAATGGTGGTGGACATGTTTCCCAAATTTATGCTATTAGACAAGCTATATCAAAGGCTTTGGTAGCTTATTATCAAAAATGTAAGTATACAAAATAAAATTTGCTTAATTTGTGACTATAAATTACCATCATTTGTTTTGGGTACACATGTTATTTGGAGGGTTCAAAATAGAAGTGAACCAAGTCCACTTTATCTACATTTGACCTACAGAGGCTTAAAGTTAAAAATTCATAACAAGATCACTCACATTTTTAAAAGTATATTAAATTTAGGAAGGTCGAGAAGAAAATATTAACATTGCTTTTATTGGTCAAATTTGACAGAAGTATAGAGAAAGCTAAGAATATAGACGCTTATAGAAGAATCTTTCACTGTTATTTTTGAAAGTCAGCAAAATCGCATGTTATGAAAAAGAATGAGAGAGTGGATCGAGATTTTAGTACCAATAGGGAGCGGTCATGTCAGCGCTATTATTGCTTTTAAAATATGAAAGAGTGGGGCACCAAATGCAAGAGATATTTTTATGTAGATGCCGTGTGGCTGTAGAATAGGATTAAATTTTTGCGTTTATAACATTTTTTCAAGAAAATAATACTATTTTAACTTTTAATAAATGAATCCTTTTAGAAAAAAATGTTATGATTCAAATTTTTAATTTAAATATGTACAAATCTACAAATAATATAATTAAAACTCTCTTCGTATTAACTATACAGTCTCTAAATTTAATAATTTCTTCTTTGTTTTCAATATAATATAACATAAAATGTAAAACACAACACTGTTTTTTCTGCAGAATATATTTAATTTGATACATTTCACCTAATTAATATTTATTAGAAGAAAATAATTTTAAAATAACTATTTCTGTTTGCAAACTATTTATATTCCAAACATTTTTATTTCAAGTATTATTGTTCTTCAGATGCTTTTAAAATTTTATTATATACTAAATATACCTATTTCCATTCAAGAGTGTATTCTTAAGTGCATCTGGTCAGCAGATGAATATTTTCTCACTTTACCTCTCTCATTCACTGACAAAGAATATATAAACCTTATTTTGTCGGTAAACATCTTACAAGAGTAAGTGGAAAATTGTCTAAAAAGTTTAACGAAGTCCTGAGAAAATGTTAATTTTTGGGGAGAAAAACAGTATAATAAAAATTTATGTGACGGTTTTTCGTTGTGTTGGAACAAATCTATTTTTAATTCAAAGTTATAAAATTTCTAAAAATAAATGCTTTGAATATTCTAAATATCATACCTTTTTAAATTTCAAAATTAAAAATTTAATATATTAAAAATAAAGATTTTATTGTAAAAAAAAACAAAAAAGCATCGAAATTTGTTTAGGCGTAGATGCAAAGTTAAATAAATAGCTCCGTTCAGGAAGCTCCTCTTCCCCTAACTACATCTTTTATGATAGTTTTAAGCCTACTGCCAGAAGTGTTTTGAAGTATAAACCGTAACCAAATCGCCCATTTGAACTATTCTTCTATAAGCGTCTATATTCTTTGGACTTGGAGAAAGTGTGGATAAAGTTAGCTACAAATTATTGACAGATTTGTATTTGGCAGTGTTGCCATATCACAAATAAATCAGGAAAGAGCATGTGATATAATATTAATGTTACTAAACATTCTTTTTAAGATTTTAAAAGAAGTATAATTAATTTAAATTTAATTTATTATAATTTAAATTAACTTTCATTGTTTAAGCATTTATGCAGGTACCATTTCATCCCAAAATTATAAGAAAATAGTCATTTTCTATTTCAAAATTGAAATCTGCTGAACATCTGTTGCAATCTGGCAGCTAGTGTTTTCAAAGTTTTGACAGTGTTGCCAAGTTTATTTGCTAATCTACCAAAGGCCAATTATAATTTTTTTTCCAAGAATTAACTGCAACTTATATCAAAAGAAACAAATATTCATTTGTTCATGTTTTATATGAATTTAAAAAATGCCCAATTTCATAAAATAATATAATAAAAATGTACTTTTTCAAAGCATATTTGAGGCATAAAACATACATAATAAGGACATGACAATATCGCAAACACACATTTGACATGACATTTATAGCTAACATCGGCAATTTCTCTATACTTTTGTCCCAAATTTAATGTAATAACCCCAAAAATGCGTTGTTAACTCGTAAATGACAAAAAGTGGACTTGGTTCACTTCTATTCTAAACCCTTTATTTATTTGATGTCTCATCCAAACTAAGCTATGTGCACTTAGATCTACAATAATTGGAAGTACTCAACTTTTAGATGATTTTTATGCCAATAATGTTGTATGTCTAAATCATTGTAGATTGTAATTTTTAAAGAGGTTATTTGACTTCTAGATTTATATTAACCTGAAAGATCTTTTGTATATATACCCTATGTCTAGTGCAGTGCAGTCCACTAGTCCAGTTTTTTTTATTCAGTAATATTCCAAACTTACATGATAGGTGGGACCTGCATAAGGTGGTTAACAACTGCTTTAGTTACATTACTAATTTCATCAGGTGCTGGTGTCAATTCCACCTTAGTGTCAGTGATGAAAAAATGACACAGTTTTTCCTTACACCATTTAATATTTTTTGTAAAATTTCATTCCAAGACTGTACAGTGATTTTCAGTACATGTAAACATTGACTTGTTTCCAAAGGTTTTAACAAAGAGCTCATTGTTTTTCTTATAACTTCATACATGTGTGCAAATGATCATCTGGTGTAATAAGCTTTGAATATTTTAATGCCTCCCTGATCCATTTTTTGAAGTAACCCTTGTAAAAATTCAGCTGTAACATGTGGGACAAAATTAGTTAAAAGTTGCTGGAGGATGAAGTTAGGTTGACAATAAAGTTCAACTTCTGGAATGAAATCATGACCAAACCAATCTTTAGAAATGAAATCTGTTACCCAAGCTTTACGATTATACTTCCAAATCACAGGCAAGCCAGATTTAGCTCATCTACATTGAATATGGCTTGGAGGGTGTTGCCAAATTCATTTATCATAACTTTTAATTTCTCTGCACAATTATGCCAATTACAGTGACTTTTGAATCAGCTGAACCAACCTTTACTAGCTTTAAACTCTTCATATTTAGCAGTCTCTCGAGGATCCTCTTTCATTGTCTCAAAAATCAACTTAAGCTTAGGAGTAGTACACTGTATTCTAACGAATTAGGAAAATTTTTCACATTTACCTGATTACCACAACATAATTTTAACATTAATTTTATCTCAGGAACGATGGTTAAATTTAGAGATTGTGCATTTTTAACAGCTTCAAGAGTTTGTTCTTTTGCCCTTCTATCTGTCGATTCAATAGATCAAATGTCTTTGCTAATCCATAAAATTTCATTTTTGTATCAAAATCTGTAAATTTAATAAATCAATGACATTTGAAAATTGTGTAACTCAGGGTTGATGTAAGTCGGGATAGCATAAGTCAAAAGTGTTACTATATAAAAAAGTTTATTATCAGTTCCGGAACTATGTTACCTCATTAGCTTCTAAAGGGATGTGTTTCAGGGTCTTCTTGAATATTTACTACATGTTTAGTATTACACGGGTATTTGTTTCCACTTGTTTGTATTACCTAACCAGATATAAAACATTTTTAATGTTAATCCCATGTTTTTTTGACTAAAAAATATCACTATTCTTCACAAATCCATTCTAGAGAAGGATAACAGTAGTCTCAAGTCAAGATATGGTTACATTTCTGTAAACTAATCCTAAATTGGTATATTGGAAGTGTACTTACAGGACAAAATGTTCAATAGAATATTTTTTATATACTATTAGAAATTAAAATGAATTATAAAACTTTATTTTCTTTATTTTGTAGATGTTGATGAAGCATCAAAGAAGGAATTGAAAGATATCCTTATCCAATATGACCGTACCTTGTTGGTAGCAGATCCCCGTCGCTGTGAACCCAAGAAATTTGGTGGTCCAGGTGCTCGTGCCCGCTACCAAAAATCTTACCGTTAAGTTCTTTTTTAGATTTAATATTGTGTTTCTTGTATGTATTAAGATATCTTCAATAAACACAAGTTTTTCCTAAATATGTTTTATTTTCACCTTTTTATTTATGTAGTGTTACAAGTTTATTGCCACAGTAATTGTCAGAAATCTGGCCTAAAATGATATGTTGATTTAATCACCTAATATTACTATGAGATAACTTGTATTTGGAGTCCTAGAAAAGAATGCAATATACTTGGCTATCTGATAGTTGGCAGTTAATGGATTAATGTATAAATAAAAAATTATATGGCCAACAGTGATTTCCGTTTTGTTTATGGGAATATCATATAAATCATTACAAGCATGTTAAAGGTAAAATCTCCTTTATTGCACTACATGATTGTTAAATAAGAATAGCGTTTAAATTAAATGATTAATTAAAGATAGCTAAATAGGAACATTTATAACTAGAAATGTTTGTTAAAAAAATATCTCACACTATAATGTACAAATATTGTACAAAGATTATTCCACAAAAGAAAGTCATATTGTTTTTTGATCTGAACTTACTGGAAAAGAAAATTTTGGTGCAAAGCAAAAATGTATGTATAGGACACTACTTATTGTAGTCATATAATGGTTTTAAAAGCCAGATTATACATCCTTTATAATTTTACCCTGTAGTTGTTTACAATTTGATACAAAATTAAATATTTCAAATCTATTTCTTTTTGGAATAGTTTACTGTTTTATCCCAATCAGATCAGAATTTTTTGTATATTTGGACTTCACACCACTTTTTTACACATACTACTTGTTCTAATACTTCTAGATCCTTTATACAGTTTCATATGCTTCTATCATTAGAGCACCACCTTCAGGTATGAAAAAGTTACTAATTAGGCCTAAGTTTTTTTACTTGACACAAGTGTATAGAAAGGATTGACAGTTAAAGTTATATGAGATATTACAAAAAGACTCGTCTGGGGTTTCATTTATTTTTTTAGTGGAACTATTTTTAAATAATCAGTGTCAAACTCATTATTTTGGTCATAACTTAAAAAACTTGTCTACATAGCGATTTGATGTTACAAACAACTTTTTCAGAAAAAGAAAAGATACACGAAATGAGATATACTCACTTAATAAAATCAGTTATCAAACAAAAAGTTATTAACAATGAAACAATTGGCAAAAGATTATGAAGAATAAAATTACCGTTTTTGAATATTGTTAATAACTTTTTTATTATGTATTCAAATTTGTTTAAATGTGCCTGAGCTTGAGGATGTTACTGTGTTTGAATTGTGTGCAAAAGATGGGTCAGATCAGTTGAATAGTTTGTGTGAAACTTAATTTGTTTATAAAATTTTTTGAAAAATGGGCAATTATCTGGATCAGCCTTAATTCAGACAATTTAATTTAATCAGATCAATAATAATTAATTAGAATAAATAATTAGATGGATCACCTGAGCCACACAGAATGCGGCAAGAAAAATTAGAAACTGGGTTGTGCTGCTGGCTGGATAACATTGCTACGGAACACCGCTACATTGGCTTTTCGATGGTCGGAGTAGGGACTACCAACGTGAGTCATCAGCCAGCCAAACAGGAAGCAGAGGTGGAGATAGAATGGAGTGGTTGTTTTGACTTATTTGAGTACTCTAGATGGATGTTAGAGAAGTTGCCAATCGCTATCGACAGAAGGACTCAAATCAATGATAAGAGAAACTATAGGAATTGCATGAACAGGGTAGATTAAAAAAGAAAAATGGCTTATTGGTCGTGCGAAGAGATCACCAGTAAGAGGAAGGTATGCATTGCTATCAGAAGACCGGCCGGTAATTCATGGTTGAGGAGGGTGTTTTTTTAGCACGTAGGTCTTTAACATTGACGGCGAAGGTGTCCGAGCAACCCTGCGTGCGGTCTTAGATATCAAGGTGGCCATACTGGAGGAGTCTTGCATAACCGAGGTTGGAAGGCGGTTGTGGCCACCTAGGACCGAGGTATATTTGGAGCCCCCCCCTTATTAAAGACGAAAAAAAAAGATAATTTAACTGAATGGATCTCAATAATCCGGGGCTTATTTTCTTTTTTAATAAATATTACATTTATGTACACAAAATGATTTAATAATAGCACTTCTTAAGCTTAAAAAACATTTACAATAACAAGAAGTAGAAGTAGGTAGAATTTGGTTCAAATTAAATGGAAAACATATTTGGAAACTGGTTAAAAACATAAAAAGACCCTAAGGAGCTAAGATAGCCCCTTTTTTAAATCACTGTTAAGTTAATTAGCATTAAGGATTGAAATTAAGCTGAAAAGGCGGGGAGTGATTTTATGAGCTGAGGCTGAGTTTATTAGGTATGGAACTTGATATTGGTTATATAAAATAGTACTAAAAGCTACCAGAATGTTAGGTTTTACTCTAAGAAATTGTAAGAGGATATCTTTGCAAGCAGTAAATCAGTACCCAGTACGTGATGTAGTGCGATCTCAGTTTGAGTATGGGTCAATTATCAGCCCTTCCCAGTATAGAAGTTGTTTCTGGAGAGCGTGGAAATAAATTTTTTATGATATAGCTATATGTAATCTGAATCTTATTGATAGTCTTGACTAGTCGTATTCGCAAATATTGGATTATCTTATACTGCTCTCCTTTGGGTAAAAGAAGAACATTTATTGACATTTGTTTTATTCAAAAGTTATTCAATGGTATTATATCCTGTCCTGATTTAGTCTTTTAAGTTAAATTCTCTACTCAAAAACTGAGACTAACTAATTTATTTCATATTGAATTCCAATTGTGGTAAAATAAAAAAAAATATGGTAAGATTTTAAAAGACCTATTTGAGTGTCTTAGGGGTAGTTGATTGAAAACAATGTAGTGTAATATCCATATTATAAATATATTCTCAATATTTACACCATGTTCCCAGTATAGTAAAGGTTTTTAGTATAAAGCTAATTTTTTTTACTTATTGTTTGGAATACATGTTTTAAGTTATTTTTGTTATATATTGTAGTAATTATGAGGTACCTTGCATTATTTAAGTAGTGGCGGATAGGGGAATGCCTCCTAGATATAGGTGGTACCGTAGAAATGAAATACTCGGGGTGGACCAAAACTAGTAAACACTGCAGCGTCTGATCCAGAGTGGTCGGCTGCAATCAGCATCTACCCAGAGTGGGCGGCTGAGTCGAAACTCACCAACTCGTTTTAGCAGGCTGGTGTTTTAATCGACAAATACCCTCAAGGAAATGTCAAGGTTCAGAACTAAAATATCCCAGACAAGCAGAACGAATCGTACCTAGTATAAGTGCCCTAAAAAACTGATTTCAAGTTATTAGGGCCTTAAACTCTATACATTTTTTTGAACGAATTTTTAATGAGATTTGGGTACGACGTAGGTATCAAAACTCCTTTTGGCTCCGGCAAGCTTTTCTCATCTTCACCACTTTTTTAGGCCACTAGCCACCGCTGTAAATATTATAATTATTTAACTACCAACTACAACATACATATGGAGAAATCTAATTTGTTGAAGTATATTTTATGTGAAAATGATTTCCTTTGAGTAGGAGTATGTATCGACTTTCTTTTGTAGATCATTAACACACACAATCAAATATCACGCCTTTACAAAACTAGTCATTAATATTATGAATTAAGTCCGTGTCGATCTTCGCACCCATTCTCCGTAAAGCTATGATTGTATTGACTGCTTTAATCCACCGTTTCTTGATGACATATCTCTTCAGCTTAGACTTATCTATTTGAAATTCGGAATGAACCGTCTCCTTGCCCAACCACGCGTGGTTCATAGCTTCCTCGGCTGTTGGCCGATCTCTGAAAAATAAAATATTTTGAAATATTGCCACCAGAAATATTTAATTGAAACATATTAAAGTAAGAGCAAGCAACTAAATTACCCCACACAAAATATGTTTTTTGAATGTGTTGTGTATATGTTTCACCTCTTGAGAGTACTTAAATGTATCTGTCTGTTATAGCTCTATTACAGAGTAGAAACCTATTTAGGTACCTATTTATAATAGGTGCATTTTACTTTAATTCAGTAGTTATCATTTTCAAGAGATTAGACTCTTGAATCTTAAATATCCCTCCTTGTTGACAACATTGACCAAAAATATATAGGTAAGAATCCTGAGAATTTTTACTGGGAGTATACGAAAGAGGCAGGTGGCTGTTGTCGAAAAAGATCGATTTTACACCCTCAAGCTGAAACTTGTTTTATTCGATAGTAGATTGTCATGCCAATATGCTATGTTTAAAAGTAGAAACCGAGAGTTTCCCATGAGAACCTATTTATTTATAACAATGTTTAAACACATTATAAAAAATTGCTTTTTTTGCTTTAAAATCAATTTTTTTTTATTAATTTCGGTTATTTTAAGACGAAAGTTATCGTGTGATTTTTGCGTGAAATGCTAACTTTAAGCGTAAAGCAAATAAACAATTAAAAGTGACGAAAAAAAACTAATTTTAGCGTTTTTGGCGGCCATTTTTCAATAGGTTGGTCATTGAATTTATAAAAACAAAAAATATGAGATGAAACATAAGTCAAGTAGTTTTAAAATGCGCAATACGATTTTGATTTTATATTGCAAAAATCAGTTTGAAAAATCCATAAACAAATTGCATACCGATGGGCTTTGGAATATACAAATAAATAGAGTTAACGAACGTCTGAACTTCGAAGATATAATCAATAATATAATCAATATTCGAAACATATTGATTATATCTTACTCGCAAGCTGAATCTTGTTTTAATCGAAAAAACATGATGCTAGATTACAGTAAAAAGTTTACTCAAAGTTTACTACGAGAACCTGTTTATCTATAACAAATTTTAAACAAATAAAAAATTTCTGTATTATTTGAAACTTATTTATTCTTTTAAATTATTAAATATTTATTCCCTTTTTTTTAAACTTATTAAAAAAAGGGTTTCGAAGCGAAAAAAGCAATTTTTTATAATTTGTTTAAAAACTGTTATGAATAAGAAGATTCCCGTGACAAATTTGTGGATAAACTTTTATCAAAAATCATAATCTTTCGATCAAAACAAATTTCAGTTTGTAGGTATGAAATTAACTTTTTTCGACCCAAGCAATATCCGCCTAATAAAAGGGTTCATTGGATTTGATCATGAAATATCAAAAGCAGCTTACAGTATCAACGGAAGGCAGAGATGTATGCATTTTATCCCATATTTGTATATATTAATATGTTAACATAGGCATCTATGTGTTATCCCTGCTCATCTTTAACCCGTACAGCAATCATCAAATGCCAGAGTTGACACAACAAATATGCAGAAATTTAAATTTAATAATACCCACTTCAAAGTTAATCTATTTCATAATTAATTTATTATTTATTATATTTAAAATAAGTGGTACTGGTGATTTCATTCAACACGGAAATATAAAATTGGAAGTACCTGTTTGCATCTGCAAGAATACTTTAAACAACGTTTTAAGCGTTTCTTATGCTTATGTACTTATATTTTCAAAATAAGAATACAGCATGTTGTGTTGTCTTATATTGGTGACATGATCAATTTTTTCATAAAGGTAAAATACACAAAATATTTAAATGCAGCAGATATTTATGAAGTGTGCGTTATAAGCATCAAATGCCAAAGCTGAAGCGACCAAGCATTTACGTACCTTCATGTTCCCTGCACAAGTTTTAAAAAGGTTGACGTAGGCACTTTTTTAATTGGAAACTAACTAGAGTTTTTACACTTGAACACAAATAAATTAAGGTAAAGGTATAGCACCAATCATAAAATTGCTAAAAATTATTATTAATAAATATATAGAAATAAGTACAGTAATCACAGTTTTTTTAAATGCTCTTATAATAATGATATTTAAAAAGAGAAATAAATTTAAGTTGAAAAACTATAGACCCATTAGACTGTTATTTGTCTTGTATAAGCTGTTTGTGAAGATAATTACATTGCGACCAACAAACAAACTGGATAGTTATCAGTCTCGGGAGCAGGCAGGATATACAAGTAATAAGAACACTAATTGAAAAATCAAACGAATACAATATAATACTCCGGATAGCTATGGTAGATTACGAGAGAACATTTGATTCCATAAAAATTTGGCCTATCCTTAACGCTCTAAGCAACAATAGAGTTGATGAACGATATACAAAAAGTAAATACATATATGAAAATGCAACATCGCAAGTAAAAACAGAAAAGATAAAACTACAGAGAGGGATTAGACAAGGAGATTATATCTCACCCAAGCTATTTACTTTAGCTCTAGAAGATATGTTCCAGACTTTAGAATGAGCAAATAAAGAAGTGACAATAGACGGCCAAAACCTGAATTACCTGAGATTTGCCGATGATGTTGCGTTAATAGCAAAGGACAGAGAAGAATTGCAGGAAATGCTATTAGACTTAATACAAAATCAAAAGAGACCGACACCAAGACTATACCTTATGGAAATTCCTTAGATTTCGTAAACAAAGTAAAGTTCTTAGGAATGTTTTGCGACAAAAGACTTACATGGAGAAATCGTGTTCCATATGTAAAAAGAAATTGTCAAACTGGTTTAAATTTATTTTGGGAAATAGATTGGGGAATAGATTCTAAATCATTATTAAACATATACAAATCACTTACCAGAACAAAAATAGATTATGGTTTCATTGTGTGTACATCAGCTAGCTGCACACTGTTACAAATCGAGATAATTCAAAATACCGCATTGAGAATTGTTAACGGAGCTTTTAAAATATCGCCTCAATAAATACAAGAGTTCTCTCGAATTCAAACTTTCCTGTCATATACAGGGTGGTCCTTAAGTAATTGTACAAAAAGAAACCGTAGATTCTACACTTTAAAATATTACGATTTAAGCCAAATTGCTTTAATAAATGTTGATATTAAGAAAGATACAGGGTGTTAAAGGGGAAATTTAAAATTTTAATTTTAGCTATAACTATCATGTTTGTAAACATTTATATATCAGAATTCATAACTGGGTACTATTGAACATCAGAAATTGTAATTTAATGCATATTTTAATGTAGCTGATAGAGGGCGCCACATATACCACATATGTGGCATACATTTACACCTAACTTTTTTGCTCTTTAAGTTACCGGTGTTTGTGATAAAAAATATTAAAGATACATTATTTTAACAAAAAAAGGTAAACTAGATAATAATTTCAAAACCCAACACTTTTCGAGATAATTGCATTTTACAAATCAACTACATAATTCAGATTTAACGCAATGACTCCAGGCAACGAAAGAAAATTAGACAAAAACATCAATACTTATGAATTTTAGTATAAAATGCCTTTAATAAAGTTAATAGTTAACGAAATATTAAATAAAATATATATATCAGCAGGATAATTTCCAATAGGATTTGACAAAATAACAGAATGGTTGGATTTTACATCAAACGTTTTACGTTGTTTATTAAATTAAACTCATAACCAAAACATTTTATTTACAAACCAAATTAAGAAATAGTTAAACTAAGTAACACTAAACTTTTTGTCAAAGTAAGTGTTCGATATGTTCACCATTTTCTTTAAATCATTTGTCAATATAAAAGATCGTCTCATATTAAATAGCCTAATTGGTTCTAAAGAAACCTGTTTATACGAGACGAAAACCTCAAATTCCTTGGGAAAAACATTGTCAATAGATTTTTTGCATAAGTAATCACTTTCATAAAATACCGCAGAATAATGTTCGAGAGGTCGCCCATACAAAAAGTGGTCCTAATTTATTAAACAGTTTTGTATAAATCCATTTTTAGGTTGTGATAAGGGCCCCAAACAACTAAAAACAATGTTGTTAAAATAAACCCAAACTAAAGGATAAGAAACTGATAGAACAAGGTTTGGTGAATTCAAAAATAATTGCGTGTTTTTGAGCCTTAAAAATCATCATTTTTCGTTTTTTTTTTCAGTTTTATATTGTTTATAAGATGAAAACGATTAGCTTTAACGAAAAATTACAAAAAATTTTATTTATTCAGAATAATTCAAAAGACCGAAAAAAAAATTGTCCGGGCAGATGAACTTGATTTGTACAATTTGTTTAAAAACAATTATTGTTTAAATAAATTAGAACCACTGCTGCTGGTATTGTGTTTTAAGACGAAATAAGTTAAATGCAACACAACCAAAAATAAAAATATTAAAGCTATTTTACTAACGCAAAAACTAGTCAGTTCGTCTCTGTCTCGCTACGAAAACGCATTGAAGAGAACTGCATGTTTTTAGCAATGCCTGATTTGATTGTTTCGTTCGTAGATCGACGTCACTAAATGATTACGTCAGGTCCACCACATTATGAATTATCTTTACCTAAATGATTAAAATTACTATGTTTTAAAGGACCCCGCAACTATCCTTCTGGAAAACCGGCCCTGGTCAAATTAATTAAAAGTTTGGTCGATGATAGTTCTCAGTGCGTAGATTAAAAAAGTCAATGGAACCTAGGTCTGAAAAACTATTATTCTAAAGCCTTCTGAAGATATTGGATTCAGGTGCTCAGTGTATTTCAAGCGCACTTATTCGTAGTCAAGTGAACGAAAATATTGATTTATGAAAGAACTGAGACATTTTTTCTTGATCCATATTTACACTATAAATATGAATCATAGCGATGAAAAACTGAAGAATAGCGATAGAAAATGTGCTACTAGAGAGACAACAATTATCATATTTTCACAAATGCTACACACACATCCAATACCAGCATAGCTGCATGTCCGCCTTATCTTCAGAAAACTACTAAAGCGCCTTCAGAAAACTGAGGAACAACCACATCGACAAGTGGTGCTAGAGCGGTACAAGACATTTCACGCATGCAGATACATACCTGATCTCAGCAAGGTAACAGCAAGTATCACCCTGCTAAACAATTATTAACAAGATTATTAATTCCGAATGTGGTATAAGCTAGAGTTAAGACTGACTATCTGATTAGAAGAAACTTAAACCCAAATTTGCTATAAACCATTGAAATCTAGCATAACATAATCTTAACTGGTCGGACTTTCTTGC